GTGTTTGTAAAAGTCCATGATTTTAAATTTTGCTAAATCGTAAAATCAAGGAAATCTCTTCCACATTTTTTTTTTTTTTTAAACTTGCGCGTTTGCGTTCCAAAGGGATGGTCCCGTTCGTCCGCTTCAGTTTGCATGTTCTCTAAACAAATACGAGACTTTGATGGACTACTGTATAAAGCCTCGAACTAATCGCTATTTTTGACATTTGAATTTAAAAAGTTTCCTGTTCCAAGTACTAGGGTAAAAAATAACAACAAATTTTTTAAAGTCATCTTGGACGATTGCAATTTGTATCTATTTTAATTGAAGAATTAAAATCTACATGCATGCATTTTAAAATAGGTCTACTTAATTAAAAATATAATTTGCAAAGTAACACATTTAGCCAACAATAAACGTATTGTAAAAATGTAAACTTAAATATTCATAACAAATCTTCAAGTAAAAAATGCTCACCCAACAATAATTGTACTGATTTTTTTTTTTTTTATCCGTAAAAAATTTACATCTGTATATTCAGTTGAAGTGCAAGAAAGAAGAATTTATTTTGCTGAAATATGCAATTTATCCAACAGTCAATAACTTCTGTTGAGCCCAGTTGACGTTGATATAATGCTGTTAAACTCATAAACGGCTTTATGCTGAGAAACCAGGTTGTCTGCGTTTGTCGCAGTTAACAGACATCTGATTTTAAAATTGTTTTATAAAACCAATTGATGAACTAAATGATAACCATGTTTAAGCTTACATGGTTGAGTGGGGCTTAGCTCAGTAAACTCAGATTTAGTTCATCATTACTATCCGATGGTTAAAATCTGAGACTCATTTCTCTCCTTTTTGTTTTCCAGGCATTATAGAGAATTCTAAGGAGGCGTACGGGAAGGCCTTTGAGATCAGCAAAGAGGAAATGTCGCCCACACACCCGATACGCCTCGGTCTAGCCCTCAATTTCTCCGTCTTCTTCTATGAGATCCTCAATTCTCCTGAAGAGGCTTGCAGTCTAGCCAAACAGGTACCTCCATTCTCTGTAAAGCCGGGCATACACTGTGCGATTTTGTTTTTCAATCGTCGCACGCAACTACGACTCACACTGTACGACGAAAGCACAGAGTTTCGTCGTACAGTGTGAGTTCACAGCTCATGATGTATGTGCAGCACGACGCTCTGATGCGATCTACCTGCTCACACTGTACGTCTAAAAACCACGTGGGACTCGGCTCCGCAGTGAGATGGCGATACTCAGACTCGTCTATCCGGAAGCCAAACGAGTAGAAGAGGAATATAAAGCTCACTAGAGTGAAAGCAGCTTTGTGCTGAAAGCCCTAAAAAGAAAAGGCAACGACGTATTTGGACAAAGACATGGCTGACCAAACATGGCTGCTACACTCTGTCAATTTTACAGAGAGAACTCTATTTCACTCGCACCCCCGCCATGCTTCTGTGTTTTCATCTGAGAGGAAGAAGCAGAAGAAGAATCCTTTGTTAGTGCACTGAGCGATTTTTGCCCACAACGATCGGGAACAAATCAAACTTGTTTGATTTTCTCCCGATTTCTGATTGGGAGGTGTTCGTGAGAGGCTGATCACCCCTCGTTACCCCCTGTACACAACGCAACGCACGATCAGGCTGAAAGTCGGCAAAATCCCCTCGAATGGGGGCAAAAAATGGCCCCGTGTAAGCCTGACTTAAGGCAGCTCCTAAGCAACCTGGTTGGATTCAGAGGTGGGGATTAGTTTTCTCTGAAGGCCTCTAAAGATATTCTCTATATTCTTCTCTAGGCTTTTGATGATGCCATCGCTGAACTCGATACACTGAGCGAAGATTCGTACAAAGACAGTACACTAATCATGCAGCTATTGAGGGACAACTTGACGGTGAGTGAAACCTTCAGCCATCTTTTTTTTAATCTATTACAGAAGATGGGATTAGTTGTTGAGTGATTCTAAGATTGGATCGTTGTCTCTTCACTCAGCTGTGGACTTCTGACAGCGCAGCTGAGAACGAGGAGCCTGAGGAGCCCAAAGAATGAGCCTCACCCCCCCTCCCTGTCATCCCGTCTGCCTGACATCGTCCAAAGTCCTCTTTTGGTTTTGTTTTTGATCAGCACTTTGACCACCTCATCCATGACATCCAGTTCAATCCTTTTCTTTCTCCATCCATGTTTCTGCTCATCTCACTCTACTGGGTTTGCTGTTTTTCTGCAGTAACTGCAAACAAACAGCGGGGGCGTTACAGTGTTGATGGGAAGGTTCATGTCTGTTTGTATTTCTTGCTGACCTTTTCTGGGTTAAATCAAGCTTTTTTTTAAAGGTATTCTATTCTTGAGACGTGCAGCGAGTGGTTTTTAACACCAACAATGAATTCAGCGTGCGTGTATCCTACTCTATAAAGGTGCTGTTTGTAAGCAGCACCGTTACGACCAATCAAACAGAAGCTGCCTGCTCACACCTGACTTGGCAGAAGAGGAATTACAGCGAAGGTAGACTCAGTGGTGACATAATGGGGAGCGCTGGTGATGAAGGGCCAGATTTTACACAGGTTACATTCCATATAATGTCGGTTATCAACCATCTACTGTCCTTTTTGTTTTTTTGTTGGGGGGGCTGTTTTTGTACGTCTATGTATTCATTACGAGGTTTAGAACATTTAAAAAGACAAGAGCACAAGCTTGTACTGTTGCTGTTTTTTATGAGCACCTCAGTAAGTATGAAAATCCCACTTTTTATATAATTAAAAGGTCTTTGAAAATGAGTTTCTTGTTTTCAAAACTTGCATACATCTGATTAAAGGCTAGTCTGGAGAAGTCAGGCTGTTGTTGGATGGTTAGCTTTGTCTGTCTTTGGATTTTTTTTGTACTGACCACTTGAGCATAACTGTTTTTTGGGGTAATGCATAATTACATTTAAGTGAAATAAACCATTTAAAAGGTTCAACTTGTCCTTTTTTTTTTTTTTTCCTTAGAAGTATCTCAGTCCTTCTAGTACCACTCGTTCAGACTTTAAAGTTGGGTTTTGCTAATCAAGCATAAACTTGGTAATCTTTTAAAGCACAATTGTCTGCAAGAAAAATTTTACAGTTTTTATAAGACCAAAGATTATTAGATTAAGTTTTGATGCTAAAATATTCTCTTCCCGTCTTCATTAGTAACTGAGACCATTTAAAAGCATGACTCCCAGCCTGTTGCCGTGAAACATGAAAACGTTCACTTGTCAGCTGTAGTATACTTCTAAAATAGTTTTTGCTTTTTTTTTGCGCCGCAGGGAAGTCTACTTAACTGTAGCTTGGGTGTGGTTCCCACTCCCACAGCAGATTCCACGCAGGAATCATGTCTGCTCTGTACTTTTATGTCAGAATGCACCATTTAACTTGCTAATGTCTGTGTCCCTTTACAGCCAGTCAACTCTTCACTCTTAGTTAAAATGAATTTTTATTTAGACAGTTAAACAAAATAGGATTTACATAGTTTAAAGTTTTTTTTTTGTTTTTTTTAAAGAATTCAAGTTGTATAGAAAAGGAGGGGTGTTTGTTGTGATTTAACACCCCCTAGAGTTTTATGATAGTATTACAGGGGGGGTTACATCCTTTCTACCTTTAGAAGTGGGGAAAAGCATTGACCATAAGATAACTAGACCTTGATAATCAGATGGTTGGCTGATGGGAAAATGGATGCTGTGGGGGGGTGGATATAACATCCATAGGGATATCGGGGTTAAAAAGTTCCCTAAGAGCCCAGTTTGAAGTTGGTATGGAAGGATTTGTATCATAAAGCTTGGAGCTCGTACAGGTGCACAAATTAGATTTTTTAATCTAAGATGTATGTTGGCAGAGATCCTTCTTATTCATTAGAATACATGATTGAGTGTGGCTTGAGTCCCAGTGCAATAGATATATAAATGCACATCTATATAAATAACCTGTGCAATAACCTATATATATATATATAAAGGTGCATGGGGTATATACAGTGCATCTACACACACACACATATATATATATATATATATATATATATATATACACAATGTACAGTCATGGCCAAAAGTTTTGAGAATGATTCAAATGTTAATATTTACAAAGTCTAACACGTGCAGTCATCATTGCACACAAAAATAACCTAACAGGAAAGAGAATCGTAGCTAGAAAGATTGCACCTCAGTCAACAATCTATCACATCATAAAGAACTTCAAGGAGAGAGGCTCCATTGTTGCCAGGGAGAGCTGCAGAGGTCCTGAAGAAGAGGGGTCAACACTGCAAATATTGACTTGCTGCATTAACTCATAACTGCCATTAAAAGCTTTTGTTACTCATAATATGATTGCAATAGTATTTCTATATGTGATGATCTGACATACACACATTAAAACCAGAGGGCAGCAGATCATGTGAAAATATATTTGTGTCATTCTCAATACTTTTGGCCATGACTGTATATATAAAAATATATATATTTCTTCCTTTGGCACCATAATCTTGTGTAAATCAATTTTCAATGTTTTATTAGCCAAAAGAAAATGATTCTGATAAACAGAAATAAAGGTTTGAAAGTGTGTTATCTACATAAACCGTGTTTTATTCAAAGACGTCCTCGGGTGGTAGACCATGACTGAGTCGCTGTAGTAAAGGGG